TACTATTCTAATTAGCATTATGGACTACAAAAGCTAAGCAAGTTTTGTTTTAGTTACTTCAATACTCTCTTTATCTAGTTCAACCCAAGGTTGTCGCGGGTGTCACACGGTCTAGGGGCTAGGTCTTGGTTTGCTCGGTGTAGATGGTTAAACCGAGCGTCTTAGGTGATCCAGTAAGTTTGAAATCTTGCAAACAAACCCTAAAAAATACATAACCACCCTAAGGTTTGAAATCTAGCAAAATACCCCTTCAATCTAACCCTAAATTGATTTTTCCGCCCAAATCCGAGGCCAAAATTCACATCCGACACCACCACCTAACCACCGTCATCCTTCTACAAAACCCCTCTACTCTAGAACTTGATAACCCCTTGTCGCCGATTGTGACTAGCGAACACGCCGCGATTAGGTTGATTTTTTTGGCCAAATCAGGGAGCCAAATTCCAATTGACACTACCACCTGAACCCCGAACTCACTCTACAAAATCCATCTAAATCCTAGCACTTGGTAAACCCTCGTTCGCTGGTGTGATCTCACGTATTTGGTTGATTTTTTCGACAAATTTGAGTTGATTCTGGCATCCAAAATTCAATTCCGACACAATCCCTGGAAAAACCACCACCCTCCACTTTACAAAAGCTCTCTAACCCAACACTTGGTACCTCCTCGTAGATTATGGATTGGTAGAACATTAAAATAGTAATTCGAACTTGTCCGGGCCTTGTCATTGGTGGGATCGATCCACCTGCGGGTCCCGGTCCAGTCGCTTTTTTTTTTTTTTTTTTTTGTTTTTTTTTTTTTTTTTTTTTTTTTTTTTTTTTTTTTTTTTTTTTTTTTTTTTTTTTTTTTTTTTTTTTTTTTTTTTTTTTTTTTTTTTTTTTTTTTTTTTTTGTTATTTTTTTTTTTTTTTTTTTTTTTTTTTTGTTTTTTTTTTTTCTTTTTTTTGTTTTTGTTGGGGTTTTTTTTTTTTTTTTTTTTTTTTTTTTTTTTTTTTTTTTTTTTTTTTTTTTTTTTTTTTTTTTTTTTTTTTTTTTTTTTTTTTTTTTTTACTTTTGTTTTTGTTTTTTTTTTTTTTTCAAAAAAACAACCAACCCTCTTTTCATTTCTTTATTTTTAAATTACATATTATTAACTCAGAAATAACCCTACCTAAAATCTCAAATCTTAAGCTCAAGAAAACAACCGTAAGCTTGAAAATCTATTATTGAATACTTATTAAAATATCCAATCTCAAATTCAAGAAACACACCTTGGTTTGTGCAAAATTTCGCAGCCACAAGGAACATCAATCTGTCATTTGGTGCACTTGAGCTTTGCTCTCCTTTTCAGATTGTGTCTAGGCTATAATACTTATTAAACGGCTAAAAAAAATCCTACAACTTCTGCTCCTTTGCAACCTAAAAGATTTCGCATTCTAAACCCGAAACGAATTCAAGAGTCTAGCGTTAGTTTTCTAGTTTCAGAGGTCTTAATATTATTAACCGTTTTTCCTTCCCTCAAAACTTACCCGCAAAGATAGCCAAATTCTTCCATTAACATAAGTTCTTTTGGTTTTTGTTTTTTTGGGGGCCCATTTGATAAAATACATATATAAAAATAATTTTGTTCTAGGAATTCAAAGGATGAGCCTAAACCTAACACGGGCCTAATCCTTATCAGACATTTTGTTTCATTCCAGTTGACATAACTTAAAATTGCAGGGCCGCCCAAGGGTAGTCAGGTGAGGTCACCTAGCCTACAGCCCGCCCCCCATAAAAAAGCACCCCCAAAAAGGAGTCCAAGATTATTTAAGAGTGTGTGTGTTCTAATAGTTTACAAACGAAATACCTTGGAGGGGCTAAACAAGTTTATAATTTTTGCATACCAAACACACCGGTTCAAAGAGCCCAAAAAGGCCCAAAAAAGCCCAAATTCATTAATACTTGTTGAATTACATAAATAAACGATACAAAACAGAAAGACCATGTTCATATTTTTCCATTCACACCCAAAAAAAAGTAACTAACTAATTTTTAAGTGTCTACAATTTCAAAGACACCTTAAAATCCTAAAATGATGAAAACATTGCATCGCCAACCCCTCTAATCTCCATAGTGTCTCTTTCGGCTTAAAGGTGTGATTCCAACAATTTGTCTTTCTCACCAAATCGACCAGATTCATCCTTAATCATTTTTCTGACACTTTTCCCAACCTTACAACCCCCAATTTTGGACGATTTTTTGCTTAATTTCGCAACTCCATTTTATTCCTCACTACGTGCGGCAGCAATTTCCTTCCGACACGTATTCGCTGTCGTTGACCTTCCCCACACCACCAATCTTCATCCCCTCAGCCCCATCACCCCAAAACCCTCACTACCTGACCTCCTTAGCTCGCCGTCCACCTCTCACCCCACAAGAAAGATTAGTTAATTTGACTATATTTCAATTGAAAAAAGATTTGTTTACTAACTTGATTATAAAATTTAACTTAGTATTTTGCATCTCAAAGGCAAGAAAAATCACATTTTGAAATATTTTTATTAATATACGGCATTGTTGAATGGAAAGATATCCCTCCTTATAACCGTAGTAAGGGGCTTCTTGAATGTATCTAGTCGTGTGTACTCCAACACCCTCCTTCCCACTGTCAACCCATATGTTTGGTTATACCTATTGATATATATATTTTTATTGCTCCTAACATCCTCAGCCCTTTGGTCCAACACTCCCGCTCTACTAGACCGTCACCTGATCCATGTAAAATATGGGAAATTGCAGCAGTCTATTTAACCCATATAACATTAAACAGCTCTATAGTCCTAATTTGCGACTAACTAATTTTATTACTATGAGAGGTTATAACTTAAATAGAATGTAGGTAAAACCATTCTTATTTCATATTCATGTTTTAAGTAGTATAATATTAGAATTTCAATTCATTTTATAATATTAGGGTTTCATTCTCATCTTTTCCGATTGCCTACTTTTTGCAATGGATGAAGTTGTGGTTTGGAAACCACAAAGATAACTGTCACTTATGGAATTGTGAATACAGTGGCTGGATGGCAACTGATGTGAAATCATAGCCAATTGCCAATTGTTTTTAAAGCATTACAAATTAGTACCACCGATGTCGATGAATTGCAAGTTACAATGACGTGGCTGAAAGGAGAATCAAAGAGTCCTTGTAAAATTGAGTGATCACTTCCGACCAACTTCACTACACAAGTAATCGAATGCATATTAATGTCTTCTATTATTCCTCCAAATGAGTAACCATTCCATGTATGCTTAAGCATAACAAGAAGAAATCATTTCTCTACAATTCAAACAAGAAAGAAATAATAATATATGAGAAATATAGAACAACATAGACGGAAATACAGCAAAAGTTATCATGTCAGCAAGCTCCAATAAAATCGCACCAAAAGTCACTGGCCAGACAGCCAAGAGAGCAGCTACACGCACTAAAATAAACCGAAATCATCGTATTGTTCCGTCCCTAATAGTCCACACACTTAGCGTCTGAATATAACCCCAAGTTAACATATATAATACAACTCTAAAGCATAGACGTATGGCCCAAACAACTTCAATAAATATTTTATTCTTTCTTAAACCTTTATGTAACCGTACCATATTGATATATAATATATATTTTTTTTTTTTTTTTTTTTGAGACGTACTGGACCGTATACAAATAAAATAATCATATGAGGACACGTATAGACCGAAGAGACGTCATATTCCTTAAGCAGAATATAAACAATTGAATAACTTAAACTGACCCAAGTGGAGTTTATTCTTATGTATAATACCTAGGAACCCAAATGCATGAAAATAAAATTGTTTTAATGACTATATGGGTTTATTTCCTTAACAGATAAGTACGTACGTAAAATACCAAATAACAACTGAAAAAAGAGAAAACCAAAGGTGATCGACACTAGATATCAATTTCGCCATAAATAACGATCAATTGATGACAAAAGACATTTAGGAGAGAATAGCGAATAACAAGCACTTATCTAAATCCAGACATAACAGAAGGAAATAAAGACTTCCATAGCGAATGTTTCTCCAAATAGATCTCTATCTCCATAAATATCTATTATATCTTCTCTTATATAGAGGGTAGATGACAATTTCAAGGAAAATGGAGTTTTCCCAAAATCCAGAAATTACCAGGTAATAAACGTTTAAAATTTCAAATTATTTGTCTCGTTCCCTTGGCCCTTTGCATGATGGTATGTAACGTTATTCCTACTACTGTTTCCTTAATCTGATTGATGATATTAATCAGCCCACTATTAATTTATACTGTAGCTTTTGGAGAAAACTTTTTTTGGTCCCCCCTTGATTTTTCTTGTTGTATTTTTTCGTTACATTTTTATTATTTTTTTAATGTTTTTTCTTGGTTGTAAATCTCATCAAAGTGAAATTATTATGTCGATCTTTTTATAATTTGCAGCTTTTTTGTTTTTTTTCCTTGGTTCTTGTACAATATGGTGATTCTAGTTAGTTTTCACAAATTAAATGGTATTCTAACCTCTATTTCATTTTTGTTCGTGTAATATGTGTCCTTAATTTTAATACATTTTAATTATTAAAAGACAAGTGGTGTGATGCAAAAATTAGTAATCAAACATACTTTCAACATTTTTTTTTTTTTTTTTTATCATTTCTTTACAGATTATTGCGCTTGTCTCCAATCATTTTGATATTGGAAATTATTGAGTCTACGATAGAAATGAAGTACTAGCCAAGCGAAGTCCCTTTCTTATCCTGCGATAAATGGTTCGGAAACACTCTGCTGATCTTGACGGACGGTAAAACAAAACAACTGCAATCACTAAACAAGACCCTAAGCGTGTAACACGCGACACTACACATCACCTCCTCAATGAAAAAACACTGTCACCCCACAACCACGACAAACAGACCAACCAAGAGAACCTAAAGTAAAAGCAAAAGAACAAGTAAAGTTCAGCAATGCCAATCTAGTCAATGGCAGTTAGATGTGGCTCAACGTGTATGTTCCTCCTGGCAAATGGTTAACTGGAAGTTTTAATCTCACTAGTCATTTCACTTTATATATTCATAAGGATGCAATTCTTCTTGCAGCTCAGGTATATATTTACATATGTTAATTTTTATTTCATTAATTAATAATTTAACTTGTAAAGTACTTTCTCAAGACAAGAAAACATAATATCCATTATTAGATTTTTCAACCATAGTATACTTGTATAATTATATTACATATACAGGATGAGACAGAATGGCCTCATCTTGCGGTATTGCCATCTTATGGGAGAGGAAGAGATGGACCTGGTGGAAGATTTAGCAGTCTTATTTTTGGGACAAATTTAACTGATGTTGTTGTAACAGGTAATATTAGTTAGTAAGAATTTAAACCCATCTTTAAGGCACATTTGATAATGTATTATATATAGAGAGTTTACAATTTTGAACAAAAATATTATTTACAAAAAAAATCTAAAATTTTTTCTTTCTTCTTTTTTCGGACGTTAGATTATCTTACCTACTACTAAAAGACACTTCAATGTTTGTTTCATCTATAGGTGACAATGGTACGATAGATGGTCAAGGTGCAACTTGGTGGATCAAATACCGTAGCAACCAATTAAATATCACTCGACCCTATCTTATTGAGATCATGTACTCTGACTATGTCCAGATATCCAACATAACTTTAATTAATTCTCCATCATGGAATGTCCACCCTGTATACTGCAGGTTTGACCTAAAAAACTGATCCATATTATCTTATTCTTTTTTTTTATATATAGATATATATTCCAATCAAGACTTAAATTGCAGCAATGTATTGGTCCAAGGCCTTACTATTATCGCTCCAATCGATTCTCCTAATACAGATGGGATAAACCCAGGTTTTTATTTTTATATTTTGATTATACATATAATTCTCTTTTGTAAGTAATTAGCTTATTCAACTTCCACATGATATTTGTAGATTCATGTACAAACACCAAAATTGAAGATTGTTACATAGTCTCAGGGGATGACTGCATTGCTGTTAAAAGTGGGTGGGATCAATATGGAATTAAATTTGGAATGCCTACAAAACACTTGATCATAAGAAGGCTAACCTGTATTTCACCAGATAGTGCAGCCATTGCACTTGGCAGTGAGATGTCTGGTGGAATTAAAGATGTACGGGTTGAAGATGTCAGAGCCATTGATACTCAGTCTGGTGTGAGAATTAAAACGGCTATTGGAAGAGGAGGCTACGTAAAAGATATATATGTAAGAAGAATGAGGATGGAGACTATGAAGTATGTTTTTTGGATGACAGGCTCTTATGGGTCACACCCGGACCCTAACTTTGACCCAAAAGCACTTCCTGAAATTACAGGAATAAATTATAGAGAAATGGTGGCTGAAAATGTCACATATGCAGCAAGACTTGATGGAATTCAAAATGACCCTTTTACTGGAATCTGCATTTCTAATGTAAAAATTGGATTAACAGAGAAACCACAAAAACTCCAATGGAACTGCACTGATATTCAAGGAGTTACAAGCCGTGTGACTCCTCCGGCCTGCAATTTGTTACCTGAGAAAAAGGATAATGATTGTTTTTTCCCCAGTGATAAGCTACCCATTGAAAATGTTCAGTTGAAGACTTGTTTCATAGCGTAAACTTTATTTTACGTATTATATATGCAAATAAGTATTTAGTGTGTTGATTCATTCAGCATGTGATTAAAATTATACAAAAAATTTGCTCCTTTCTTTTAGTTCCACATATTACTTCGTTGTTCTTATTTCGCATGAGAGTACACTCAAACATAATTCTGCCATTGAAGCCTGGAGGTCGAACTGTCACAAACCTTTGCACCTCTATTACTGGTCTTTAGGCCAGTGCCTGGATATTTTTATATCAACCGTGTTTCTGCTTTCGGCACCATATTTTAGTTTTTTTGGTTCATTCCCTTCCTTGCGCCCTCTATTTCCTCCTATCCAACTGTTACGATAATTGTTGAGTCGGCATATTAAAACTTTAACTTATAATTTGATGTGGCATTCAAACTAATTTAAAAAAGAAGATTTGGCATGTTAAAATATAAAACAAACTTCTCTCCAATGTTTCTCCACAAAAGACGACAACTCCATTACAACGTTACAGAGCTATAAGTTTTTAGTTAAGGTTACAGACATATTCTCAATCTAATTCAAAGTTATAGATTTCTCTCTATCAATCTCTCTGATTTCCTCCCTCTGTCTCGTTCTAAATCCAAATCAAAGTTATAGACTTCTCTCTATCAATTTGAATCTCTTCCCTCTCTAATTGCTTCCCTCTGTCAATTAATTTTTGCTGCTTCAGTCATCTTCTGGTATGTTAATCTTCACATATTGCCAATTTTTTCTTTAACTACAAATTGATTAAATATTTTAGACAGTAAAAGAGAATGGGTGAAGATGAACATACTAGGAGATGATCGAAGTGATGAAAATCAATTGGCAGAGGGAGGTAATTAGTAAGGGGAGAGATTCAAATTAATAAAGAGGAGTGTAAAACTCTAATTCGGATTGATAACGATTACATAACTTTGATTAAAAACTTGTTGATTTGTTTTTTCGTGGGCATTACCCTTTAGTAACGTGGTTTTGGGGACGATTTAGTCTGTCATTCCGCATTACTTTCTAGGACGAATTTTTCGCTTTTTGTGACGAAAACTTTTCTTCACCTTTGCCTCCTTTATTAATTGTTTTCTCCTTTCAAGAGTTTGAAACTTTCTCCAGTGTCATTCTCTTCTTTTCGTTTAATCAACACATTGGCAAATGAAATCTCAAGTCAATACTTCCCTTAATTAGTCAAAAAAGTATCTATCATCTTCGACATTATCACTGTCAACTTCCTGTTGTTTTTTTCTCATATAATTGTGGAAGGGGAGCAACTGATTATACATGTGTCATAATTGAGTAACTATATTTAATAGGGAAATGGTGAGACCCCTATTTCCCTGTGGTTATTATAGTTAGCCTTAAAAGAAGAATGTGGAAATTGGTAACTTCTGCAGCCTTCAAAAAAAGAATGTGGAATTTTTGTTTGTTTTACTATTTAGGTCCTTTGTGTCTACATATTAAACATGAATAGAATTTGATTAACATGTCATACAATATTTTTGTAACTCATGAAGGATATGGCACTTTACTTGGAGGATAGGATCTTCCTCGCTTTCCATTAGATGCAAATGCTACTTATGTATTGGTGGTTTGTGTACTTATAGTTTAAGCCTTCAGGTTTTTGTTTGCCAGCAGCCATTAGCGTAAATTCTCACCTATCATCCTAGTTTACTTTGGCCTAAATAGTTATCTAATGTAGATTTTTAAGAATGGAAGTCTTTCTTGAAAATCAGTGCTCTTAGAAAGAAAAAGAAAGAGGAAATACCTTTATGTTTATATTTTTCTTGTCTCACATTTTTACAAAATCATAAGAGAGAGAAAAATAGAAAATACTGTCTTTTGTGTTTTTTGGACCTCAGATGTCTCTTTCTTCTAGAGTTTCTGTTTTTGGTACAATAGAATGAACAATAAATGCAAGAAATATAGGAGCTAGTCACCAGTAAAAAATTATCTGTCAACAAGATGAGGGAGGACATTTTGAAAAAGACATTAATAAGAGAGAAGTTTAAGAAAATACCTTTTTTTTTTTTTTTTTTTCACTATATTAATGCCTGTCTGTCAAAACTTTCCAATTTTTGAGGAAGCTTTTGTGGACAAGTTATTAATCTTAATGTTTTAAATGGTCTTAATCCAGTTTCTAAGGATGTGCGGCTTTTCACTTTGCAGTTTGTAACTATGCCAAGGGTAGTTGGTTGCAGACAGCAGGCGTCCTTTGTATCCTGGATTTGGATGTAAACAGTGGTTATCAGGAATGGGGCATGTCAATTGATCCACGTAAAGATTTTTCTTATGAGGGATATCGGTGGCAGCCAAAAGATTGTGAGATGCCAGAGTTTGAGCGATCGCATTTTGCGAAGGTTGGCCTCTATAATTGATTTCTGTTGTTAATCTTCTTATCTTCTGCTTCTGTTTGCTTTGTATCTTTCCTGGCCTCAATGGCATCATTAATATGTTTTCTGACTCACAAATCCTTCATAGGCAGCCATTTCTATTGAATTTCGATCATATGATGTTGTTGTTAGAAGAAAAATGAATGTTTTGATGGTTGGTTCTCTGAATATAGTTTGTGAATTTCAGGATGAGGAACAAAACAATTGCATTTGTAGGGGATTCTTTGGGCAGGCAGCAATTCCAATCTATGATGTGTATGGCCAGTGGTGGACAAGTGATCCGAGAAGTTGAAGATGTTGGAAGGGACTAGGTCTGTCAAACTACATGCATGCGTCCTGATGGCTGGGCTTATCGTTTCCTTGCTACCAATACCACCATTTTATTACGGTCATCAACACTTGCTGACTTGTGCCACTTAACAGGTCAGACCCAAAGTCTGATGTTGCCATGCATTTGGACCGTCCACCAGCTTTCATGAGTAAATACTCCATCAGTTTGATGTGTTAGTTCTCAATACAGGACATCACTGGAACAGAGGGAAACTGAGAGCTAACCGTTGGGTTGCCTATGTCATGAAACCTAATGAAGATAAAAGACTTGCAATCTGGGAATGCCAAGAATTTTACTGTGTACAGTGTGGCTAGGTGGCTGACTCTCAGCTCCCATCCCATCCCCGACTTAAAGCATTCTTTCGGACGATTTCTCCAAGACATTTCCGCAATGGGGACTGAATACCGGTGGTAGCTGTGATAATACCACACCTTTAACCAGAGGAAACAAAGTTGAGCAAGATAGATCAAGTGATGAAATTGTTGAATCTGCTGTTAGGGTACAAGAGTAGAGATTTTGGATAACCGCTCTTTCGGAACTGAGAGATGAGCTCACTAATCTCGTTACAGTATCAAGGCAACCAAGGCGTCAATGATTGCTTGCATTGGTGCCTACCAGGCGTTCCAGACACATGGAACGAACTTCTTGTTTCACAGGTATAGTTCCTGCATTATAGGTATTCACGAACGCGAACTCAATGATTCGTTAAGCTCAAAACGGACCTGTTTTTGATAATCAATAATCGTTTACAACTCAGCTTTCTTATTGTTAGAATAGGCTGAGAACATTGTCTAATTCATTTCTATATAGTTTACAATTGGGGTCGATAAAACTTGAGGCTGCCAGGGTAGGAGCGCTCCAAATGTTTCAGCTCTACCGCATACACTCAAATTCTAGGAGTCTTTTGGGTTAGTGTATGTAAAATATAGTTTGTAGTTTCTTTTACTTGATGAAAGAATCATAGTTCTTCCAAGTTTTTGCTTACAGAGTGTTTTGATCATAAGGTCGTGGGTTTTCCATAATTTTTAGGGAAAATATGCACAAAATTATGATGCAATTTATAGATTTGGTTCAAACTTTTCTTAAATGTGTACTAGTAAATTTGAAAAGAATATTGCTGGAATCATCCCAACATGAAGGTTACTTGGTGGTTAAGGAGATTGTTCCTTATTTGAGTTTACGATTCAAACTTTGGGTCATTTACCACATTATCGTGACTTTCCTGATTCTTTGGGTTTTAGGTATTTAGTAGATCCCGAAGATTAGTTAAGATGTGTGCAAACTGGTTTGGATATCCCGGTTATTAAAAAAAAAATTTGTCAACGCTCTCTTCACCATTGTAAAATTAGATGAGTGGGTCGACACTACTAGCATCTCTGAACTTGTTATGTTGATTTATTCCTCCCGCTATAAATAGTAAGTCTTCATTTTGTCACGGAAAAACAATTTTATTTCAGTTGTATTTTTTTGGTTTTCATGCTTCACTTTAGATTGATCTTCAAATCTAGTTTTAGGAATAATTAATCTTTTATAGAATATAAAAACAACATGCAAATTCCACGAAATAATTAGGCAACTATACAAAAAACTTGTTTAATTCATGGAGAGTCAATTCTAATTTAATCTCTTTCTTTCATTTTCTCATTAGCTATAGCAATTTCTAGCAGCAAGATTCAGATTCTGAATACAAATACACATAATTTATTAAATAATTATTTTTAATATCAATGATAGTGAGTGATTTATTCAATTTATGACAATATAATATATTACATGTTTGTTATTTTTTATTTTTATAAGTATAATAATCATATTTGGAGAACAATTAACGATTTCTTAAAAAAAAAACTATAAATCTTTAAAAAGTCTAAAGCCCATTAATTTAATATCATTTTTGGATAAACCTAAAAATAAATTTATGATTCGCCCTTCATTACATTTAACCACTTAAAAGTATAGCATCATCCACGCATCAAATATTTTAAGAACATCAAGAATCTGAGGAGCTATGTATATTTGATTATGTAGAGGGAAATGATTTTTAGTCCCCGTCTTCACTTAGTGAGATTAGTTTATAAAAAAATTTCTTTATTCCTACACACTTTTAATTTAAAGCTTTACATTTGCAATTATTGAAAAATTAAATGAACCTAGGTAAAAAGAATTGAATTTTTTATAAATAAATGTGAAGCTTGTGGTAATTTTCAGAATGACATATATTTCTTCTTACAATATGAATTAATTTTCAGGTTTCATTTCTTTGTAGACCTAAGTAAGCACAACTACCATTT